CAGTAGTGGAGCAGCCGCAGTACAACCCGCTCGAGAGGAAGAAGGTGGAGAGCGAGTTCCAGCGCCTCTATACGCGGTTCGGGATCGGGTTGACTACGTTTTCGCCGCTGAAGTTTGGGCTGCTTAGCGGAAAGTACAATGATAGTCCCGATGCGCCGCCAGCAGGATCGAGGTTCGCTGAAGGAAAAGATGGTTTTGTGAGTGGAATGCGCGACCGATATGGAAATGATGAGTGGAGTGGTATGATCGGCGTAGCGAGGAAATTGAAGGTAAACCAAGTCCCCATGCTTCCTTGATGGCTCTAGCTAACTGTGAGCAGCCAATCGCGGATAAGCTGGGTGTCAGCCAGTCGCAGTTGTCGCTTGCGTGGTGCTTGAAGAATCCGCATGTCTCCGCGGTGATCACTGGCGCGTCAAGACCAGAGCAGGTGGTGGACAACTGTGCAGCCTTGAAGATTATAGACAAGCTTACGCCAGATGTGATGGCTGAGATCGACGCTGTGGTTGGAAGCGTTCAGCTAGATCCTGCTCGACAAGATTAAAAACACTCGTTAGCTTTTGAATCAAAATTGACCTCCTTCACCAGTGATGTGACAATGGAAACGTCGGCTGATAATGTCCGTATTCTCATCTGAACGCCTGAAATGCTACCGGGACCGCACGCTATGCAATAACAATTATGGTTCCTCCTACGATCCTAACGTTTCTTGTGTTGATCATTCTTGACTTTCTTCTCTTGCGGCAAGATCTCGTGGACCTTCATATCCAATCCCACCCAGAACTTCCTGCCTCGCCACTCTACTGTAACACCTCCCCAGAAGGCGGTGACCCAGACTGGTAATGCGAAAATCTCGCGGCCGAGCCACGCAAATAAGAAGTCTATGAAGTTTCTCCTCGCGCCATCAAGTAGACTAGGTTCGCCCGGTGTCTTGTTGCCAAGCAAAGGTTCTAGAACTTCGGTTCGGTGGTATGCAGAGGCTGATCGTTGAGGCAAGATGAAGTCAGGGGTGTCGGAGTCGATCTCGACGGTCTTTGCGCAGTGCAGGAGCAGATACTGGACATAGTCTACAAGACACCATGCAGATAGGTGTAGAAGCCAGATCAGGAAGAAGGAGGTCCATGTTGGGCTGATGCCGACTCTGTGGAAGAAGGGTAGTGTCGTTAGGGCATAGGCGCCATACAGTCCACAAACGATACTTTCTGTACCCGGCTCCACGAACGTCGCCAAAGTCACCGTGAACTTCCGTACTCGTAACCATCGAATGCGACGTTGCAGGTAGGCCATGACAGACGTATGGCTGATTGGCTGGAAGCAAAAGTCACCGAAGAGCATTGCATGCTTGCCCCAAGCCTCCCTTGACGTTCCTGGCTCGGGTTTGTAGCCCCGTTCCTCGAAAGCTTGAGGTTGCTTCCACAACACATCGCCAATGAGATGGTCCTCGCAGATATTGTCAGAGAAGAAGTCGATACCGGGAGCGCGGTTCGGGTTCGATGAGGTAACGTAGTTGAGATGAGAGCGACGGAACATGGTGCTCTTGCCCATAATGCAGGGTGCCACAGCGACTGTGTTGATGGCTTGGTAGAATTTGGCATGGGCAGAAGACATGAAAGCCTCGTCGAGACGTCCTCCGCCGCGCTGCAGCAGCTTCCTGATGGTGCTGCTGGAGTGATTGCGCGGATCAGAAGACGTGCTTGCCGCAATGCTAGTCGACTCAGCTATAGCTTGAGGCTTGCCTCCGAGCAATTCTTTCCTGTCCTGAAGCGACAGACCTTGCGAGTCGAGATCTACCGTAAGAGGCGTCTGGTGAACGAACTTGTACTTTGTCTTCTTGTTGCCATGCTTGTCCTTTCCAAAACCACATAGCAGGTCCACCAATCGCCCGCAAACGCCCTTGCCGACCCAGACGTTGCAGTCAAGTACCCATACGATGTCGCCCTTGGCCTCCCTGTAGGCGCGACTCATGTTCCTGATCTTCGGATTGGGCCCCAGCGCGTTGTTATCCTTCAGTAGCAGCGGATCCTCCTCTTCGACCAAGATCTGTACATCGGTATCCGGGAAGTCTTTGCATAGGTGCTCGAGGATCGGGAAGGCAGGATCGGAACGCTCGGGAATGCAGAACACGGTGTTCAGTTTGTCTTTGGGATACGTCTGGCGGAGGGTGGCTGCAAGACACTCGTACAATCGCGGATCAAGGCCTTTGACCGGCCGTATAACGGTGACTTGAGGGACTTCGTTCTCTTCCAGTGTCGTTACGCATGTTGCCTGCTGGGGTCTCCTCCAATAGTAGCGGAATAGTTGGATGAAGCCGATGGCACAGACACTCCAAACTATCACCCACCAAATCAAGCAGCCGGTCGCAATAATGGTGCGCGACATGGAGACATCTTGTCCCGTCGCGAGGTTGGGCGCGCGAAGCATACGCGACAGTGTGGTAGGTTCGGAATGAGGGTGGGGTGTTGGCGAATCTCGCAGCGCGGAGGTTGCGGAGAACCAGGAAGCCACGACCGCCAAGACGCAGCACCACTCGACGATGTTCAGGGGTATTGAATAGATGCAGTATCACAAAGACAGGCAAAAGAGCAGACGTACTGCAGCTGTTAAAAGCGAAGCAGCTTCTTGTCCCACAATCGTTTGCACATCCGAACGGTCCGACTTCACCGCCAGGGACATCCATGGATCGCGATCGTTTGTTGCGATCAAACTTCCTGCACACCGACAAAGCAGTTCATCCGACAACGATTTCCATAGATGGCCATCTGTAAATCGATTACTCACTTTAGATTATGGACTCGTTCACATTTCAAGTTGACCACCTGATGAAGGAAGTTTTATACAATTCGCAGACTTTCTTAACACGGAACCTCGCATAGCTTGTGCTTGAAATGAAGTCCGCAAGGACATATTAATACGTTAACACACTTTCGTGTGAGTGAGATAAAGAGATGTGTCAGCCAGAACACTTCGTTATACCAAATGAAGCCTTCCTGGAATCAAATGAAATGCCATATACCGATTGAGCTCAGCCTTTCTCAAGTTTTCGGCTTCTTGCGCACCAGGCCTGCCGTCAAAGTGTTCACCCCATTTGCAGCGCTTGCATTAGTAATGGGTGTGGGTTCTATCTTTGCCTTCTTCCTGACTGTGCCTTCTCCTAGTATTTGCGCGGATTCTGCAGGCTTTTCTGCGCCAGCCGCTGCTTCTGATGGGGTATCGGGTTTCCTCTTCTTTCGCACACCCATGACCATGGTAGGTGTCACGCCGTTTGTTGCATCTGAAGGTTTCACTGGAGCTACATAACCCTTTGTCCCCTTGACTGTGAAGCTCCATTCGTCCATGCCCCCGAGAACAGCAATTTCCTCTTTCCACTTCCTCGTACTTCGTGCTGCTGCCTTTCGGTTTGCGAAAGTCTGTTGTAAAAGGACCTCATGTGCGCGATCGTAGTTCTTGAGCGAAAAGCAGATGGTGCCACGTGAGGAAGCGGGCCATTTCCAGTACGGACTGTTCTCGGGAAGGTTCTTGGCGGAGCTTGAAGAGACGTTGGACGACGTCGATAAGTTTGAAGAGCTGTTCTTGATCTTTGGCAGAACCAGGGGAATTGGTCCGTACCTAGTTTTAGCCTCTTGTCTGCGTCGACTAGCCTTCTTCCGTTTTGGACTGGGCATGTTCTCTTGCGAATCAAGCTGTGAGAACGACTGCGACGCTGTTTGCTGCGAAGGCATGTCCTCATCTTCTTCGGGTATCGAAGGCTTGGGTGGTGTTATGACGACCCAGATGAAGCCTACTATACGCCCTGATGAGCACTCTTGCCTGAAAGCCATGAATTCCCAGAACTGGTCAAGTGTCTTAACGCTCTTCCAGTGCCCATTGCTTCTCGAAGGTGTGCCTCCATCTACTACCATAGCATCGGTACCCCGATCAGGAAGTTCTTCGTCCAATTCGTCAAGGAATCTGGCTTTGGGGTCGTCTGGAAAGTGTGGTACAAGGCACCGCGGTGGAGCGGCAGGGTAGGGAGCGATCTGTAGGAGCGGGTGTGTGGTTACCCAGCGTCGAGGGGTGTTCGGGACGGGGGGTGGAGGGATGTATCGCAGCGTGTCGTATGGCTCGAAGCCCGGTATCACCAGGTAGCCTTTGGCTGTGGACTCCGATTGGACTGACGTGCTGTCCGCCTTCGAGCCGTCATCATCAACCAGCCGTTCGGCGAAGGGCTTCCGCTCTCCTTCAGCCTTGTACTCCCATATGATGGGATCGAGCACTCTGCACCACCATTTCACCAAGCCCCTGTCGTCTAGCACATGCTTGTTCTTGTTCTCGATGCTTGCCGGAAACAGGTATTGATCCTGTGCCCTGGCGAAGAGAGACACTACCAGCTTCTTCCCTTCCCTCTGTCGTTCTCGTGCTAGCCAGGATACAAAGGTTCCACAAATGGCCTTCAGAGGTGACGCAGACTGGGCTCGCGGTAATTGTAGTTCGGATATATAGCCTGTCGAGTCGGCTTTGGAGATGAAGATGGTCGTGAGGTTTCGCGTGGTGTAGATCAAGACTTCAATTGCCAATATGAGGAGCTCCTCGGGCAGTTCTGAGGCTGCTGCATCTTTTGGGACTATCGACGCTGCCAAGGTCTGTGATTCGCAGTATGTTCGTTCGGACTTGCCATGGGGCGGCGCGGAGAAGAGGGCGGAGGACTTGGAGGGCGGCGTTGAGTAGTGGTAGAAGGTGATGGGCACGTCTTTGGGCAGTTGTTCGGCGAGTAACTCTTTCAGCGGCCTGGAAACCCCAGCGCTCGTCATGATGACCCAAGAGAAGCGCAGCAAGGGGAAGCGTCGCGTATCGGGGGGCGCACGATGGGGAGCGGCAGGCGCGACTGGTGCTAGCGTCGTTGCGGTAAGGCGCGATCCGCGTGCCGCAACTTTTCGATGATCCGAACTGACCTCCGCCAGCAGCATCACGCCCGCCCGCCGCCAATCAAGCCTCTCACACCTCGCTCACCACTTGGGAGTGCCACAATGACTTCCAAACGACCGCTCCGATCACTCGTCTCGACCGCTTCATCATCACTCCGGCCCGCGCAAATATCCAGAACGTCCTTCGTGCGGTCCTCCGCATGCGCATTTTCGAGCACCACCCCATCGAGGTCCACGGAATATGACGCAGAAGCTACACCAGCCGTCGACAGGCCGCGATGGAAACAGACACCTCCGCGAATGATGGCGCCTCACAGGATACGGCCGAAAGCCAGAGGGGGCGTTTACCAGGTCAATGAGGACCCGAAAAAGCTGGACGATGCGTATATACGCATGTTGGGCCCCGGAGGAGACAAGATACTGGGAGAAGACGTAAAGTGGTTAGCCGTCACACACAAGAGCTTCGACCACGGAAGAAGAGGATTCAACGACCGATTAGCATACTTGGGTATGTGTGCACATTGCAAAGGCGAACAGACGGGAGGCTAACGTAAAGGGCAGGACGGAGGATAGTCGAACTACAAACAACACAGGCGCTCATAAACTCGCCGCAGGAGAATCAATGGCCAAGAGATCCCACTGGTGTACCAATCAGCGACGAGTTTGGACGCAAACCATACCTACATCCCGCCTTGAATGGGCTGCAAGGCCTGACCGACGAGGCCGAGAGTCTGGTCTTGAGCAAGACACGGCTAGCACCGATAGCAGAGCGATACCGTTTGGACAAGGTCACACGGTGGACACCCAAGAGGGTATGCTCGAACTTTTACAACACCCTAGTCCACAGGCTGACGAATTACAGGCGGACAACCTCCAAGGCTCTGGTTTTGAAACTGTCCTCATGACTTCTCTATACGCCATCGTCGGAGCGGTCGCTCTCGAGCGTGGCGGCGAGGTGGCCAACAAGGTTGTGCAAGAAAAGATACTCGCACCGCTTGGCTTCAGCTTCTCGCCCGAATCATGACCTGGACGCAATTCGATTCTGTACAAAACCACTGCCAGACTTTGTACCATATTGTAAACAAGAACCTGACATGGCGAACGTCGCGATTTTCTAATCAGAATACGTCTTCGCCATCACATGCTGTCTCTGAGGTCACGGTCACTGATATCACACCCAGTATGAATTGCCCGTTTGACGTGAGTAGACGAAGGACTTTGGGAGCATGGTGACCCTCCCAATTCGCAATTCAGGCAGACGGCTTCGAGAAAAGCTCAGGTGATTAACGGTATAGCGAAACTACCCCTCCGGGCAATGGACATATCGTCAAACGTCACGGATAATAGCAAATCTCATGCGGATGTGAACGCGAGATAATGTGAAGATTGCAGGACGCATACGAATCAAACGAGCCGCACACTGCTAGCTCAGGGTATAAATATGACACTCCCAAGAAAGAAAATAACTCTCGCGACCCGCTCAAAACGTTAGACCCGGCTTGTTCTTCCTCCAAAACATAGCTTTTGCCGCATTCACTGTCCGTGGTGGCGGGTCAAACTTAGGCTGTGCCTCCTCAATGTCCATCTGCTCCATCTTCCTCTGCGAGTTTCTTTTCAACTCCCTCTTCAAGTTGCGCTCATCCTTCTTGCGCATCCAAGTGATCCAAATGCAGTAGCTTGCGCAGATGATGCCAATACCGCCTATTACACCACCAATTACCGCGCCGATGAGACCTTGGCTTTCCCATGCGGACTGCTTGGGGCGTTGGTAGGCTGCGGGTGTGGATTTCGGGCAAAAGGTAACAGGCATGACCATGTTGTTCTTTTGAATCGCTTCAGCGAGGAAGAAGTTATTGGTCTCGTAATCCGCCATCAAGTAGACTTGGCCAAGGAAAGCGGTCCCGAGGTAGAATGGTGTGTCGGCTGACTCTTCGCGGTCTTGGATGGGCGTGATGTTCGAAGCGTTCATGAGGACTTCAGAGGGGAGCGTGACTGTGAAGCCATCTTCTAGCACTATCGAGAACGTGCCGTTGAAAGCGCTCTTCAACTTCAGAGAATTATCGCCCCATGTGTTATCCTTTTCAGCGCCCAGTCGTTTGATGAAGTTTTGGGTAATCTGATACGGTAGGGAGAACGGGAATTGTTCGGTCGTAATCTGGGCCTCGAAGTCCTCTGCCCGTGTCTTCATGTCAGTGAAGACCGTGTTATCGAACAGTGATACGTTTGCGTTATCTTCAGAGTTAGTGATGACGATATCCTTGATGCGGACGCTCATCGGATTCGGATTGTCGATATTCATGGCGTATTTGTGTGTCTCTCCCGTGAAGCGACCTGAGTCGTATCCCCCAAAGACATTGCTACCGTTGACCGCGCCTCCGGCACGCTTGAATCCCTGTCCGATGTAGAGCGAGTATGTTTTCCCAGCAATGATGTCTTCTGCAGCCAGGTCCCGAAGGAGAGTGGAAGACAACCCCATACCCACTCGTCCAGGTGTGATTGACCCCGACTCGGCGACTTCGATCGTACTGTTCTCTACCAATGTTTGTGATGCGCCGTCCGTCTCGAAGTAATGTGTGTATAGTCGTAAGGTCTCTCGCCCGAAGAATCCTGTAAAACCCTCTTGTTCATCGTCCAAGGTTTGGAAGTTGTCATCTTTCACAAAACTGTTCTACATGTCAGCTAACAAGTTAAAGTTTCACATTGATAGTGAAGCATACCTAGTGGAGTCGCGGTCGTTATAGAAGCCCCCTGTACTCGTGGCACATTTGTCAAGAGTTGTGTTCTTGCAGTAGTTACTCGACGCGAAAGAGATGTGGTTCTGTTGTAGTGATGGCCAAAGACTCTGGTTCTGTGCTGGCGTTCCTAGTCCGATGAAGGATCCATATTGAAATTCTGATGAGTCGTGTACGGCCCGCTTGTGGATGTCGACGTATATAGGTTTCTTTGTGCAGTTTGAAGCAATTGTAGACTGAGTGAACAGCAAAGTTGCGGAAAGGTACAGAACGAAAGACGCCATGATGGAAGATGAGAGACGCTTGAGTCCAGCAAGCTGAAGAGCGGGTAACAAGGTGTTGGATAACGCTTACAACACCAACAGGCAGGGTGAACGACGACGATGACGAAACGTCTCAAACTCGAGTTGCGGAGGTGCCAGAGGCTGTAGGATGTCTTTGTAGGCCTCCATCATCTGTACCTTGATACACTAAGATGAGCATGCGGACAGTCAGCCAGTCAGGCAAGGGCCCAGCTATTCTTGCATGCGGGAATATCCACACTGCTTCTGCTGGACGCGCATGAGTGCATCCCTGGGCGCCATCTAGAGCCGCATGGGACTGGACCGCTGCCGAGAGCGCCTGCTGATGCCGTTGTGGAAGTACCACGACCTAGGGAGGTGCCCCCATGGGCGCTTTGAATAGAAACATGCACAAGGAAGAAAGATGATCCCTCTCCGATGGTAAGCTTTGCCGTCGCAGAGACACTGATGATTGGATCGTCATTGTAGGCAGTTGTACCAAGATAGCGGGCGTTTACGAGACCAGGCTGATTGGGTAGGGTTGTCTCGCGACATTCCCAAGCGCCCGCTGCACGGACCCGACTGCAGGTGTGGATCTGACACCAGTCGCTATTCTTAACCTTCCGCCCACCACAGTCTGCAATCTCAGAGGCAGGTAGATTGCGTACCCGCTCGGTGAGATTCTGATGCGTTCAAAGGAAACGCTCGGAAATAGCCGTACAATCTTAATCCCGCAACCCCGCACGACGTTCTCGTTGTTGCACACGGGCTAAAGTTTGTCTACAAAGTGGATGCGTGCCAGCATAAAGTATACTTGGAAGACGGTGCATTAACTTTGACTCGTTTTTAGATCCAGAAAGAGCAGAGAGCCTGATTGCTCTGCAAAACATGCTCGCGCGATAGCATGACCCTTTGACGGCTGCGTAGTGTGTGTCAGGGCTGCCTTGCTAGGGACGAAAGGGTGTAACAAAGCGCTTGCACTTCTACGATGCCTACCCCATGTGGAACACGCAGTGACTTCACGCATTCGTCTCAATCGCTGCACTGCTCGTTGCAAGCATGTTGACTCTGTTCACAATAGCATTTCATGTATCACACTAATGCCCTAGTTACTGGGTCACAGCCATGTGGTACATAAGATCCACTGCAGCGTGAACACGTTCTTCATTGCATGAATTCTACGACTTCCTGTAGCTCCTGGAATAAGCTCAATTCCCCACCTCCTACACAGCGTGTGAACGTGGACTGACTTCGAAAGCTAAAATATCGCTTGATGATGACTTTGGAACACCTTGAACCCCAGCCTTAACCCCGTACTCCTTCACCCGCTATGCTGAAAGACTATCCCACATATTCCACAACTACTTGGCGTCGGATTTTACCGACATGTATGAAAAGTTGATGTACATTAAGAGCAAAAAGGGAAACATCCAGCTGAACGCAACGTTGAGCATTGAGACTTTCAGGAGTTGACAAGCACCCATCGCTTCTCTTTCTCGGTAGGTCCTACCCTTGCGGCAACTACGCTCAAGGTATTGCTGATGGCGTCCTTAGGTAGCTTTGGGAATACCTTTTTCAGCGCCTCAATCATGCCAATCTTGGTCAGATCTTTGCCCTCAATTTCGGCCTTGAAAGCTTCAAGTTGCTCGGTGGGCACCAATCGCTTAGCTTTTGCAGGCTTAGTTGGAGTTCCTCCTGTTGACTTCTGTGGGCCGTTCAATGTGTTGAGCAGACCATTCATAGAGCGTTGGACCAGAGGTACCCGCGGAGGGTTCATGGCGCTCTTAGTGTCTTTTTTCGCAGCAGCGGCGGTACTTGCAATGGTCGCAGGATCCGGTTCCCAGTATGCCGTAGAAAACGGATCGATTGAAGTCATCTGCGGATCCAGCAGAAACCCCATTGAGAACCCCTTGAAGTCGGTGCATATAGCATCTGAACCATCGTTCAACCTGGAAACCCTATCGGCATCCTCCCAGCACAAGCCGGTGCTGACAGGAACTAAATCACCACTAATGAGTCGCCGTTTGAGTTGTGGGTCTTCCTCATCGTCGAGGAAACCGTCCAAGTCGTCTTCTGCATCTTCTTCGTTGTCGTCTTCGCCGTCAGAGTCAAGGTCTTCTCCTTCCTCGGGTTCATCCCATTCTGCTTCAGAGTCGTAGTCATAATCGGTGTCCTGTCGGACCCTGGCAATGGGGTTTCGTGCGAGCCGAGAAGCTTCCGCGTCGGTATAAGGCCTGGTATAGGTGCCATAATACGGGGGACGTACATCCTTGCAGAAGTGTATGTACTTCATTGGGATCTCTCTGAGCATCTCCAACGGGCTTCTGTGGACAGTCAAATCGATGGGACGGTCCGATGAGCCATTCACACGTTCGATAACTTCGGCGATGGTCGCAGTCCGATGCGCTGGTCGAATCCGTCGCGGGAAAGAAGATACTAGGGTCTCTCGTGTGATGGTCTCGGTACCGGTACCGTTGTGCGCGATAAGGTTCTCTAGCCGTGTTCGCGCAGCCTCCAGCCGCTCCGGATCGTCGAGCAGAGGATTTATGGGAGCGAGGATCGTATGTGGAGGGAGGTTAAATGGTAGAAAGTATCGCTCGTAGTCTGACTGAGCGTTCTTGACGATGTTCTTCTGTGGGGATGGAGGGGCCAAATTAGTTTTGACTCCGGATGTGCTAGGTAAAGATGTGGACGAGGCAGTAGGGTTCTGGGATGAAGCTACCACGGCCTGTCCTGGGCTTGATCCCGCCTTTGGCTTGACGAAAAAAGCGTTGAGCTTCATTTGGGACTATCCAAAGGTTAGCACTGTTCAGGTCGTACTACAAGGACGATGGTCGACTTACTCGTGCCTTCTTTGCCTTCTCCTCCTCTACCCGTTGCTGTTCCTCCTCCTTCAGACGCTTCTTCTCATCTCGTTCCTCATTCTTCTTGCGCTTCTCCTCTTCTCTCTGTGCCTTTTGTTCTGCCTTGACCTTCTCCTCGGCCTCCTTCTGCGCCTTCTTCTCTTCTCGCGCCTTGGCCTTCGCTTCCTTTTCTAGACGCTGGGCTTCTTTCTCTTGTGACGTCAACTTGCGCCTTTTGGCTGGTTGTGAAGGGGTTGGAGCAGAGACATTGCTGCTGTTTGGGGCGGTTGAACTCGGAGCGCTGCTCTTCAGGGGTGACGGGGTTTGAACCGAGAGAATTGAGAGGGGTGTAGAGGCTTCTGATCGAATCTGTTTTGACGGAGTTGATACAGTAGGCTCGACATCGTCGTCGTCGATGTGTGGACGCTTTTGGGGCAGCGGCGCAATGGGTGTGGGGTCCTCCATAGTGTACGGTGGTTGCTGAAAGTGCGGCCGATAGACTTTGCAGGTCTATCACGAGTCGATAGTGAGGGGGCCGACGCTCAATTCTGGAAAGCTTGTTGTCGTTGAACAAGCAGCGTGGTTGCGGTAGCGGACGTTGATGCGGGAGGAGACGCGAAGGTCGAAGGCGCGACGCGCAGCGCGTGGAAACCGCGAACGACTAGTGGGCTGATGTGGGCCTAGTGCGGGAAAGTGCGACTGGGGTGCAATTGCTCGAATGGCGCGTACTTTAGCGATTTCATGCTCTGATTTCCTTTTAGCGTTACGGCGAAACGAACGCGAACATCAACACGTCGAGCACCGCTATTTTACTCGTGCAAGACGTGAACCAAACAGTTTTAAAGCGATTCTTGGGACTACTGGCTTAGTGATGAACGCGCGAATGGAACTGAGTTTGCTGGTGTATCCTGCACGTGTCGTGCCTGCCGTCTCGCAGCACTCACGCCCCGACTACGCTTTCTATGGCTGGCTTCTTGTCTGCAGCGCCCTGTGCAGACCTCTTGCTATACCGAACTCACAGTAGTCGGCCACATACCTGCTAGCAGCTAACCCAGTATCCGCGAGGTTCCATACCATCATTCGCCACTCTGCACTTCGCCATGGACGCAAGCGATTTCGATGACATGTTGTTTGGTGAACATGACATGCAGGCCGCTCCTAATGACACGGAAGAGGAGGACTCAGAAGATGAGTTCTTGTTTGCAACTTCCCAACGGGAAAATATACCGTGGGATATGTGTAACAGCTCATCCTCAACCTCAACCAATCGCACAGCGCTGTCTGTTCAGGAAGCACCTCGGTATCACCATCAGGAGCAGGCTCTAGGACCCATACGCGACAGGTTCTTCAGGCGTTCTCACTCTGAGCGGGTTATGACTAACCTTGTGCAGGGTTTGGGTGATCGCTCGTATCGAAGCGATGATAGAGTTGATTGTGGATGCTCAGCTAGAGGATCACGAAGCGCTCACTATCACGCTGAAGTCCCGTGCGGCTCTGTCTCGCAGACGATCTTCCACAGCCGACGGCCAAGAAGAGACTCCCGAACCAAAGGAACGCGATATCAATTTTCCAGGAGCAAGTGCGCAAGAGGCATGGAACTTCAGTGTGTGATCCCGATCATTTGTACATGTTGAGTACGTTAATGGTCGTGTAGCTGTACTAGTTCGTATACTAGAGCTTGTCCATGCCGGTCTCGTCGATGGTACCGTCATGACGAAGAGGTTAACTTTGTCTTTGTATGATGACAACAAAAAGCTGACTTGAGGTAGAGACATGTATTATCGACATCCAGACTTGTTCATCAAGCAGTCGATAGTCGACCGATACGTGGATGACTTGGCTTGTACCTTCGGCATCACTAGATTACAATTGAACGTGGTGCGCTTGTCTCGGTCGTCTCTCTGGAAGCACAGCTGATAGCCAATTTCAGACTGCCGCCGCGAAAGGCCTGCTGGCGGGCGGCTTTACGTTGACTCGAAACGATGGTCATCATATCAATGGCATGAGCGAGAAAGAGGTTTGACGAGCGTGCTGGTCAGTGATACCTTCCTAACACATCAGCAGGGGATACTCGTTCCCAGTGTCAACGATAACGACAATCTCGACTTGACAGACGTGCAATGGGTTCTCATTATCGAAAAGGAGGTATAGTCGATGCTTTGGGATCACTTATGTTACCGCTAACGCATACCTAGGCGACCTTTAGGTCATTGATGAGTTCACCACGGTGGCAGGCGTTGGGCTCGAGCGGAACAATACTGACTGTAAGCCTGACTGTGTCTGTTGCCAATGTCACCTAATAGCCAAGACAGGCGAAAGGATATCCAGACCTCGCTTCACGGAAATTTCTGAGTCAATTAGCTGCTAAGGCCCCTCACATTCCCATGTACGCCCTGATGGACCTTGATCCTGACGGTATCGCCATACTATCGACGTACAAATATGGGTCTTATCGTCTTGCGCACGAAGACGTTACATCCACGGATACAGCCACACCAGGCTTGCCTAACATCCGCTGGCTTGGTGTAAAGAGTCACCACATGAGCGGGACTCCGCTAGGCGATGTGCACACAGAGACGAGCACGAAACCTCAACTTCAAGGCCTGATGAGACTGACGGCGCGCGACCGCAACAAAGCAGCGCGAATGTTGGAGTGGAACTTGTGCGCCGAGGAGGGTCCCGAGAAGGGCTGGAGGCAGGAGCTACAGACAATGCTGATGCTTAACGTCAAGGCTGAAATACAGATACTTGACGAAATGCCAGGTGGATTGGTGTCTTGGTTGAGCGACAGGCTCGGGCAGACAACGGAACTGGTGCGCGCGCAGCGGATAGAAGGCGAAAAGCCAGACGACGGGATGCTCTTTTGAGATCTGGAGTACCGCTGCGAGGCAGATGCGCTTCCATGCGCAGGGTCCACATGTGTTACCACGTAGTCGTGCAAGACAGACAGATATCGAGCGGCAGGGATATCTAGATTGTCGTCGGAGAGATCTTCGGGTGTCAAGCCAGTGAGACGCCTCTTAGGCGCAACAAGAAAATCCCCAGTCTTGCACGTTTGCAATTGGGCGTCGGATCCCAAGTGGCATGCAACTCGTTCAATATGTCGGAATTTGTGTAGGGTGAAGCGGCAATGGCCCAATGATGGAAGGCGGGTGGGACAAAATAACCCGCCAAGCTTGGCGCCAGCGCATCTCCTCGATCACGGCAGCTCACCCAACAACTCAGACGGCGTCGCATAGCGGCAATGCATTGACCTGCAGCTACGGAACCAGAACCCACAACAATGGCCGGCATGTCTAATGATCCGCGCGTTCCCTTCCAGGCGCCACGGCTCCCGCACAGCGCTGCCCCTCCGACCGACTGTGAGCAACATGGCTCAGGTACCGCCGAGTCGAGTGCAATCCCACACCCACTGACGCCTGCAACGCCTGCAACGACCACCAGACAGTCGGTACCATTGGGCGTCTTCTCGACCCTCTTGGGGAACAACACCACGTCCACCCTTAGTGCCCAGCCTATACTGTCCGACGAGCCCGTCCTCGCCCACACGCAACCACTAGATGCTCCCGAGGGCCTGTCTGACTTGACGGCGAGCTCAGGCTCGGTGCCCAGTGCGACTACTACCTTGACCAACACACTGCCGCCGACCCAGTCTGCTGCACTGCGCGCCCTGAACGCCCCCGCCTTCCATTCCTCGCCCTCCAAGAGCAAGTCCGCAAAGTCTACATCCAGTCGGACCACCGTTACCAGCCAGCCCGTGGTAGTACGCACATACTCAGGCTCGCGACACGCATCACGCTCTGGCTCCGGCTTCAGCACGCCACGCTCCTTCGCCATGAATGGGCAGGCACATGCGTCGGCCCTGTCAGCCGGTCTGGCAGGCAGGAGCGAGCAACTGCCCTCCGCTGACGACTTCTCTTTTTCGGCCATCCTTCGCGCGGTTGACCCTGAGATCAGAGACGCCATCGATGCCATTGCCGAGATCTGCGCCCGAAGCAGAATGAGTCTAGCCGACGAGTACGACTCTCACCTACCCCCACAAGGCGAAATAACAAGCGGGGGGTCGGGGTGGGCTGCAAGTACAGGAGCATTGGTCAGCCGAGGTCGTTTGAATAGGATCAGTCAAGGATGGACTGCCGCAGACAACACCCTCATGGCAGTGCCTGAAGCGAGCAGCTCCAGCGAGCGGCTGGCGCAAGAGGGTAGGGCCGAGAGCAGTAAGAAGCGTAGTCAATCAGCATACGGAAGCCTGAAGAGCGTCATCAGTGGTGGGAGTGGTAAGAGGAAAGCCATAGATGGCGATACTTTCCGAGACCAAGAGGCTGGCAGCTCGAAACAGGTCGAAGCCCAAAACCCAGGGCCCGCTTGGGCAGTCCATGCGTCCACCTCGTCTTCACATCCAGCAATCACCATTGCCGCGCCTACAGCTTCGAAACAGCTATCACTCGATACATCGTCGGCAATGCAGGACGTTGGCAAGGACGCCAATGGATCATCCAACGGACGGCCTCAGACTGCAACACCACGCAGAATCCCCTCACACCAACGCGGAGCGTCTATGCGCAGTCTTCCGGCATCACGAGCACGTTCTGGTACCCTTGACTCTATAAAGGCATGGCTACCATGGCCCCGGCCGTCAGATCTCGACCAGAACAGCCGGCAGGAGCTGACAAAAGCCGAAGACCGTCTCAGAAGCATGCTGATATCATCATCCCAAACCCTCGGGAAAGGTAAAGCAGCAGTGCGCGTCATTTGAGAATCGGATCGATTCGCATCTCCAAAGCGTTGAATACTTCCTTTGAAATTGTTTGTTACATATCGCAGATACCCAAGGAGAAGCTGAAAGTGTACGAAAAGTGGAGTGGCGGATGCTTGTGCTTTGAGAAGGCCTCTTGCTCCGAAAGACGCAATGATGAATAACGTTTTATGATAATGACTAACGACAACAAGTAAATAGCTCGATGCAATAGTATAGAACAACTCAAGCCTACTTACAGCATTTGACGGTCTATCGTGGCTACCTCTTTTGGATTGGATAATCTGGGAGCTTCAACTCAACTAGCCTCTTCAAGTAACAAGTGTGCATTGAAACGTGGGGTAGCTGCTTAGCTCACTTCCATCTCCGCTCTCGTTGACGGTATCAAGCATCATAGAGTAGACATCAAAACCACGACCTTCTTCAAACTTGAGACCAGAACAACAAGATGACCCCCAAAACAAGAGAGACACGAGTCGACAGCTTCATTGACCCAACACTCCTCCCATCACTACACAAGCCACTCACTCTCTCCGACCTGTGCGATGACGTCTTACTACTCATATGCGACTTCCTGGACCACCATCACCAGCAACACGGCGAGACTCCATGGAAACAACTCTCCCAAGCCAATCGCCGTCTCCACGCCCTCCTCGTTCCACGACTGTTCAAAACCATACGCATCACTGCGCCCCTCAAATCCCTAGACACAGACGTCTTAACACCACACTTGCACCAAGCTCGCGCGCTCAAAATCGACATGTTTGGCAGTCTATGGTGGTGGTGCTCTGGCGCCTACGTGACCGGTAGCGACGCTCTCGATCTGTTCACCTTTATGCATTTGTTGCCGCGGCTAAAGCGGCTGGAAGTGAGGATGATGAGCCGGAGTCTGGATGTCTTCTCCGCTGCGTTCACCGACTCTTCACCTTCATCCCGCTTCCCCGGGTTTGAGTTGAGAGGCGTGGAGACGTTGGTTGTGAATAGCAGTGCCGCGTTTCTGGTGCAGCATTGCCCCAATTTGCAGACATTGGTGGTGAAGGGGAAGGGCGATGGTGAGGATTGTGCAATGGAGAAGTATACCGAGCTGAAGGATTTGTTCGAGATGATCCCGCGGTCTAGCTTGAGAAAAGAAGAAGACGATCCGTATTTCCAGTATGCAGTGGGACTACGAAGTTTTGATGGAAGTGCGGCATGGTCTCTGGCCGAAATTACCTTTCTCACGACGACGTTTCCAAATATTCGTCACCTTGCCTTGCGCAGCGAGTCGTACTGCTATCGATCCGATGTCGCGTCCATTATGCGCACTCTGGGTCAAGGCTTGAAACGACTCAAGAACTTGCAAGTCAGCAAAATCGAATATCTCGATATGGGCTATCGGGCGGTGTGGAAACGAGCAGTCATGGAATGTAAGACGGAAGACGCAAGACAGGCGTTGTGGAAAGGGAACGAGAGAAGGAGAGTCGCAGCTGAAAACAACGTTGCGAGGTTAGCGTTCGGTGAGGTGGAAGCACTGGAGGAGTTATGGGTGGGTGAAAAGAGGGTTGCGAGACGACATGGTGGGAACGGGGTGTCTTGGATATGGGAGCGTAAATCGGATGACACGGTGGATGCCGCGCTGATAGGGGTGAAGTGGGCGGAATATCGTAAAGAAAGGGAGGCCGTAGTTGTGTCAAGGGAGATCGGGACGTAACGGAGGAGGTGAGAAGTTGGGTAACGGCAGGTAAATTTGCGTCTATCGCAATTCGTTCAGTCAAGGACAGATAATCAATCCCATAAAGATAGCATCTAATGAATAACGTACATCATACCGAAGGGGGAGTACAGGCTGCCCGATGAATGCTAACTAGAGCCCACATACCCAAGAATAAGCCATGCTGTGAGTCCTCAGATGGGCCTCTGACGCCAAAGTTGATGCAACAGAACACAAAACTAACCATCGTACAGGACATCACACGCAAACCACACGTGAACCCTTACATGCAAATTACACCAGGTGAGCGGCCCATTCTACCTTGCATAACCGTTACTGCTACTCGATGGCATTGGCGACGCGGAAGCTGGTTTCCAGATCCTGATTCGTTTATCATCGCCAGCAGAAGCGAATGTAGTAGGATCCTTGGGGTGCCACGCTACGCTATTGGCGCAGCCGTTGGAGTGTGCGTCGAGAGCTTCGATAAGGAGGCCATTGGAGCGCCATATGTATATTCGTGAATCTGAAAGCGTGTGTTAGCAGATGATCCTGCATGAAAAGACAAGACAAACATACCCTCGCTGCCGCTGACTACAAAGTTCTCATCGGCGCCGCCAAACGCTGATCGAATCATGAACTGCTTTTGAGCATGTGCCTCGAAGCGTTGTATTACATCCCCAGTGTCGATTTCCATGAGCTTGATCTGATCCGGGCTTATGCTAACGAGCATATGCCGTGAATCCTGGCTGATCGTAACACTCGTCAACTTTGTACCATCAAGCTGAAACTCGGCAATCCTCTCATAAGTGGCATAATCAAACACGACAATCGCGCTCTCTGTAATGACGACTAATCGCTGGCCATCGGATGACAATGCGAGGCCGTTTACACGGAGCTTCCCATCATCGGCGAAGTTGTGCTTGAGGTTCCCGTCGAGGTCCCAAACACTACAGCCCATGTTGTCGTCCTGTGATCCAAGAATAATCCGTGTACCGGACGGATCCCAAGCCGCCGTGGTACATGGGTAGGTGAAGTCGTTGATACATTGTATGCATACACCGGTCTGCTAGTTTTAGTCGGAGCTATCAGAGCAATCTTGCCGCCTTACCTTGACATCCCATATCCGTGCTGAGTTCTCTGGTTGCGAGCAACATGTTATTATCTTTGTGTCATCAGGGCTCCAAGCAAGATGAGCAACGCCAGATTTCCTGTGTTCTGCGAGTCGATGTAACACCTTGTATGTGTTGGTTTCGTAGATAATGATTGTCTGGTCCTCGCCTGCAGATGCAAGTTTTGTGCCGTCGTTTGAGTACTGCAAGTACCAAACCTCACCCGTGTGGTGTTTCAAATCAAGAACAGCCTTTGTTGGGAAGTCGTCCCTTTCGCAGTTGTGGTCGAGATAGAGAGACGGTGACGCGGCGGTGTTGTGGTATAGGCAATTTGCGATCCAGCTATCTTTTACTTCATCTAGCAGTACTGCTAGCCTGTGTTCCGGGATCATAATGCTCGGCGAAATTGATTCTACAGGATGTCAGTATGAATGGCCATAGTCTGGGACTTGCTGCTTACTGGAAAGATCAGAAAGCAGATGCATCCGTGAGTCACCGCGAGCGCCGTCCCATTGAGCTTGATTTCGGAGGTCTTCGGCAGATTGGCACATCATAAGCCTACGAAGCGTTAGCTGGATAACGTCCGATGGCAGGACAATACTTACGCCGAAAGAGCGTGTAACCTTCCCACATCTCGATGAAGCGGCGTCAACTCTTGCCGAAGCACCGCAAGTGCCTTGCTCAGATCTCTCCGTTCAAGCAACTCGAGGTACTTTTGCTGCTTCAGACAAAATAGCATCACCTCGCGGTTTGCGCCCTCGGCTAGAGTCAAGCCTGTAGAACGCTGCGAGCTGGGCTGTGATGTCGACTTTCCCCAGGGCCTTCCGTAGGGGGCGTCTAGACCAACACCACCACCGGTGTGGTGTGTATTTGACCCAAACAGCAGCTCTTCGGCTTCCTCCCAATCACCGTTCAGTACCGAAGTTCGGAATGCCGCAACTGTGGGCCCTTCGAGCTGGAAGCCGCTCTCCTTGCATAGTGCGCCCGCAGCACTGTGGTAGCCCAAGTCGGTCAGACTCTGTATCAGTATCCGCGTCACTTCTTCCCTGTCATGGCCAAAGAAAGTTGCAGGCACTGATCCCCCGTTCGCTACCGGTCCTCCATTCGTATAGGAGCCATTGCTCTCGTTCCTCCCGTGTGTGCTTCCATTCGCGCCCTTGGCCAGGGGCGACCTGTGCCCCGACGACTGTGACGATCCGTTTGCGAAGTTGCGCGAGGGCGATTGTGAGGATTTGGAGGTGTCGTTATCAAGGCGCATCTTCCCTTCCTGTCTGCGCCTGCGCTTCGAGATGTGGCGGGATAAGCTGCCCCGGGTGCCGCTGGTGAGGGGCTCGTCTTCGGCGTCGTCGCTCGCAGAGAAGCTGTGCCTGCGCTTTCCGGCTGTAGTCTGGTCGGATGACAGGATAGCGGCAGCGGGTGCGTGGTTGGAGGCTCGGGCGGCGGGTGCAGGCTGGTTGGAGGGGGCAGAGATGACTGGGGAAGAAGAAGCGGGGGACGTCGGGGTGGATGGGTGGTCGGAGGCGGCTGGGGAGGGAGGGTTTGGGGCGATTTCGTCTGCCAGGACGAACGCTGGGTCTGGTTACCCGCAGATGACGCGGGTATGGGTTGGTGGCAGCGCCGTGCCTGGAGGGGTGTTGGCTTGGGGATTAGGGAAAGAGCATAGGCAGCGTCGAGGCGAGGCGCAGGGCTGGAGTGCGCGTGGAGTTGGCGTAGACGGTGGAGAGGTGGGCAAGCTTGCGGAGGTGAGCTCGGAGGTTTGGAGCAGCTGGCGATGTCACGAGCCGAGCAATGACGATGCCGTCGTCGGGGCCGGGCACCTTTGATGCTATCACAAACGCTCGAGCTGCGCCAAACAGGGGAAGTCCGATGGTCGTCGTGTGCACGCCGTGGGAGCTTCTAGTGGTCGTCTTGGTGGTTGTTGGCAGTTTGAGGTCCGTAGCTGGGGACCTAGGTGCAACCGGATGCGTTAAGCTCATGTGCCAAGTGGCAGCCACGATGTGCGAGAGATGGCCCAAAGCAGCGCAAGTATTACACCACAGGAAGCATTCAAGGGAGAAACGTCCACTCTCTGAGTCATTCAGTCAGTTCCAACGGCATCGTCACAACATGTTGCGTGGAATGGTCCCAGGCAGGCATGCGCACCAAGATGCTCGGGTGGATCCGCATTGTCACAAGGGACCTAATCGCGCGATAAGAAAGGGAGCTAACGCCCGCACCATGGCCGGCACGACTCACAAGGACGCCCAAGTGCTCGTCTTTGCTGCATTCGCGTCGACTGTGGCCGTCGACGCGTCATGCCTCGCTCCAGGCTGCCTTCCGGCCATTACAGACCAGGGCAACACGTCATGTGGAACAGGGTACGCGCTGTCATGCGGATCCATCAACCAACATCACACGTTCTTCAAAAACCACAGATTGTTCAAATATGACATGATTTACATGATCATAATTCCGATTCCAACTTCACAATAGTACTGTGACTACCCTATACCCCTTCTACACCTTCATCGTTGCGTTCCCGCCCGCTTCATGCTCCTTGAACCAGTTGAGGAACTGGAACAAACTAGCCTTGGGTGTCCTCTCAAGGCTCGTGTAGTTCACGTACTGCACTCCGAACCTGACCGACGTACCAAGCGCCCACTCGAAGTTGTCTAGAATGGACCACCCCCATGCTCCAGTCACATTGACGCCGTCCACATGAATCGCCAGCAAAATGTTGTCTAGATATTGCTGGAAGTAGTCCGCTCTCTTCAAACTAAACGTAGGTGTACCAAGTCAGCGTAGGTCTCACATGCAGTTCGCACAGAAACACTTACTCCCAAAGGGCAGAATTCAGGTTGTTCTGCAGAAGTAGAGGTACGAAGTCAGTATATGTCTCACATGCACTTCGTACAGTCAGAACTTACCCATTGCCCTTCGAAAGGCTCTGCAAACCCGAATTCGCTCACAACAATGTCCGGGATCGATGGGAAGAGGACCTGAGTAATGTGCTTGAGGTAGCGGCGCACGCCGGCAGGGGCAGAGTAGAACCACGACATGGCCGGGTCGGCGGCAGGACCAATGGGGAAGCCATTAGGGGCTACACTTGCTGAACCAGCACAGTCAGGGAAGGATGGGTGTGACCGGTTGCTCGTGCATGACTCGAGCCCGCCATCAACCTCAAAAGCTAAGAAACTGGAGTACGGATCGATGGCGTAGAAGTCGCACGATCCTTTGATCATGTCCTTTTCCTCTTGTGTGAACTCGGGCAAGAGGTCGCCAAGTGTGTCTTTGAGCGATTGCGGGTAGTCACCGTCAGTCCATGGTCCACCGAACCAGCCAATGCTAAAGTCAAAGTTCCGCTGGCGTGCAACTTCGTCTTCTGGTTTTGTGCTGTTGGCCTCGTAGTAGTTACCGCTGTTCTTGAAGGTCATGCGGCCGCGTCCTTTGAATTCTTCATGGTACCATTTGGACACCTTTGCGTGCGCTAGCAGTGTATGGTGGCCGCAAAGGAAGCGGGCTTCATTGCCGCCTGTGACGCCTGAGCCGTGGTATACGAAGTCAGTGTATGTCTCACATGCAGTTCGTATGAAGAGACTTACCATTTGGCGCTGGGTAGTATTCACCTGCCGGATACCCGGCGTATTGCCAATTGCAGTATTGGGGCTCATTGATCGTGAACCACTCGTCGACGTAGGCATCATACCGTGTGATGACGAACTTGGCGTAGTTGAAGAAGTCATCCACGACGCGGCGGTCAGTCCAGGCACCGTACTCATTGAATATGGCGAGAGGGGTGTCCCAGTGGAAGAGCGTTACCGCTGGATGAATGCCATTCTCGTGCATGGTTCTGATCACGTCGTCGTAGTGCGCAATAGCTTCCTCATTAACCGGACCATGTCCAAAGGGGAAAAAGCGCGGCCATGAAAAGCTAGGGCTGAAGGCTTTGACTCCTAGACTTGCTAGTCTGGCGAAATCCTGCTTATACAGATAGTAATGTTGATCAACGATATCGCCAGTGGTGTTATCGGCTACATAGTTGGGAACTGCGAGATAGAGGTACGAAGTCAGCTTATCATGATGTCTCACATGCTCATCGTGTAGTCAGAACTTACCCCGGTGTGCCAGCAAATCCCAAATACTGGGTCCTCTGCCTTCATCCTTGACCGCACCTTCGATTTGATACGCGGAAGAACTAAAGCCCCATTGAAAGTTCTCGGGGAGCTTCAAGCCCTGTACCTCGGGATATCCGCTTCCTACAAGAGCGTGATAGTATTGAGGATCTGGCTGCGGATATGCCGTTGGCTCTGCTGTTGGTTCAACGGTAGTCGTGACGGGGCCTGTAGCGATAGGGCCCACCATGTCCCAGAGCGAGGCGAGTGCATTGGGTCCGAAATCAGTGCGGGTATAGGCTGTGGGCTGTGCGGAGGCGTTGAAGCTGGAGGTACTGTAGCCTGAAGGCAAGACATAAGAGATAGTAGCTGTCCCGTTGCTCTGGGCAGTGACAGGAGCGGCGAAGACGAGAAGGCTCAAGACCGACAGTAATTGATCCATCTTGAAGAGTCAAGGTGGAATAGCACGAGATGTTGCGCCACTATGAACGGATCCCGAGACTATTTGAATAAGTACCTATGTACCTCTGCTAGATCTATCCGCATCATACCGGGTGGTTTCATTGTGCTCCCCGCTGACGGAAACCTTTGATCGATGGAGATTACCCGGAAATTTTGAGCTCGGCGTGCATGGTACCCCTCAAGAAAGTGCTCAAAATCATCTTTGTGCACCCGATATAGTGGATTACAAAAGGCTACAAAGGCAATCGTTGGTCAATCCCAAGGAGCTAATGTAAGCTCCAAGCTTCGTTGCGGTACCGAATGCTCGAGCGTGAGGATTTGCACCAAGACCGCAAACGTCATCAACGGGCAGGCCAGCGGAACTGGCGGAGTGAATTTCCGTGCCGAAAGAGGAATAGATCGAGGCTGCTGCCGATTGATTGGTGGAGGCAAAGCTTCTCGAAGCCATGCACGGAGCTATTGCGGGGAATCAACAACCATCTTGACTGATTGTTGAGCTTCCAAGAGACGTCGTACGAAGCTGTGTACCCAGACGGTAAGGTGAGCGGCAGAACAGAAGGCATGAACGGTCCGCCGACCGGAGCTTGGTAAGATCGGTAGAAGGAAACGCGGGACGAAAGGACGCAATTCGACAATGGAGCAGTGCTGCGGGTGGACGACACAAAGATTCTGGATGCCACAGGAGGGGATTGTGTCGTTTTGCCCAGGCGCACCTTTAGTATGCAATCGTCGGGCTTGACCGAGGACATTTATTCAGTTCATCGCTACGTAAAAGAGACCTAGCAGAACGTCACTAGGTTCTCCGGGTATATGGTCTTCGCCGTATAATATGACGAAGGTGGGAAGTCGTCCACAAGGAGCTTATGGTGACTCGTTTCATTTAAGCCTTGCGCTGCTTCTTCGAGGGCGGCTCTTGCTCTGACTTGCGACCCTTGCCCACCAATGCGCGAATGTCGACTGGTTCTTGTTCGTCGTCGTCGTCATCATCGTCACTAGCATCCATGACATCCAAGTCGGACAGCTCCTCGTCGTCTTCGTCTTCGTCGAATGTGCTCTCTGTGATCCGTTAGCGACAGGATGAAGAGTAGTTAAGCGCATGCCACGTACTGTAGTACTTGATAGCGTTGGGCCACATGTCTTCGGCGAGGATGGTAGCAACCTCATCGCCGCCTGGGAAGACCTCGATCTCCTGGTAGTCTTGCGGGTCTTCTTCGTCCTCAGCCTCATCCTCGTCATCGACCTTCTCCCCTCGCCTGATCTTCTCGAACCTCTCCTTCTCCTCCTTGGCAGCCTGTGCTGACTCCTGTGCGCTGACCCAGCGATAGCCGGAGACGAAAGAGAAGAGACCGAAGAAGCTAACAGAGGCGTCTGTAGCTGTTTCGATCTTCTTGGCCAGGTTCTTATATTCCTTAGTTTTGGCCTCCTCTTTCCTCGCAACGCCGTTGGCAGTGTCAGTTGCCAACTTCTTCCTCATCTCGCCCAGCTTGTACGCCGCATCCGTGAGACCACCGGTGAGGTCCTTGTCCTTCTTCCAGTTGATTTTGACAGGCTCCGAAACTAGACCTTGCCAGTCCTTGGTCTTCCTGAACCAGAAGTTCTTCTCGAGCACCTTGTCTTCGAAGTATTCGTTGTCGGTGAAGCCGAACTTGAGCGAGAAGCTGCGCGGGGAGCCATTGGGGTCGTTGAGCTCGATCCGCGACACCTCAAAAGTATCGAGACACTCGGCGAAAACCTTGGAGTCGGTGGGCTGGATGAAGTTGTCGATTTCGGGCGGCGCCTGCTCGAAGACGAGCGACCAGAAGTGCGGGATCTTTGTCACGAAGTCGGCGCGCTTCTTGTAGAGAGGGCCCTGCAGAGCTTCGGCTTGGCGGACTGCGATGGGGTTAGCAATGCGACTCCCTTTCTCGAGACGCGACGTGATAGAAATGGAATCGCAACTTACTGATCTCCTCTTCCACGTCTTCGAATTCGTGCTCAAGAGCCGCAAGCTCCTCGAAGCGAGCGACGTCTACTTCATTCATTTGGTGATCCATGGGTTTCGAGCAGCTGCCGCCGGGTGAGCAACAATCAGACACTTCAGACATTAAATCTTGGTGGAATGACGAAAGACTTCAGCCGTGAGCATTGTTTGTAAAATTTCCGAACTGCTGCAGGGATGTTTGCGCGACGGGGCCCACTTAAAAAGGCGGAGGTGCTCGGCCCCACGCACCCGTGCACACGTTCATCCCGGCTTCTGCACCCTTTTGGCAGCAGAACGCATCTATCTGTCCTGCTTCGTCGACACGATAGACCGACGCGAAGTTCTATGGCGCGGAAAATCAATCTACATCGTGATTATTTCAACGCGGCAGGCACGTCAGCAGAAGGCCCTTAGGGTGGCTGGGAGTCACAGAGATGACTTGCTTTCATTCACTCCGCCACAGCTTCGCTCCTGGCAGTGCGCTCTGGTACATTCACGATAGGCAGCACCCGATACCCCACAGTGCCATATAAGCTCGCTACTCCCTCTGTTCGACGATTGTATGTCATAGCACTCAGAGTTCAACAAGAACAACACGCAAGCCGCTTCTACCAGGCCCGACAACGATCTGCGCAATCTTCGCTACTTAGGTAGCCATGGGAGGTCTCGCATTCGCAAATGTTCCAACAGAATCCGGCAGACCTATCAAGGTCCCTCGCCTGCTACCATCACTGTACAAGACGCTCTCCGCGCAATATCAAGGCCTTCTAGAGACACTATTTGTACGCGTTGTCGTCCCGCGCGACGCTCCAGCCAAGACAGACCATGGGGACATCGACTTCTTGGTAGAAGGCATTCGGCCACCCAACACCAAAGAGGGGATATGGGCAGCAATACAGAAGACTCTCGACGCCGATATCCATCTCCCACGCGGCGGGTCCTCTTCCTACGCGGTGCGACATCCCGAAATACCAGATGCACACGTGCAAGTCGACGTCGAACTTTCAGTTGGAGATGAAACCCCGGAAAGCGCTGAGCTCCTCGAATGGACGCGCTTCATGAAAGGCGACGCTGACCTCGTGCAAATCATTGGCGTCTCTCATCGTCCGCTGGGTCTCACCTGCAATGACCAGGGCCTGCATGTACGAGTCGAAGAGATTGAGCCATACAACAAGAAGAAAGCACTGCTATTTCTCACAAGAGATCCAAATCTCGCGATCGCTTTCTACGGCATGGATGTCGCAAAATACTGGTCAGGGTTCAAGGATGAAGACGATCTTTTTGACTGGGCTTCCAGCGGGAGGTTCTTTTCGCACAAAATCTTCCAAGGGCGTGTCGAGAAGCACAACGATCGAGCCCGGCAAGCAAAGCGGCCCATGTACCAGCGTTTTGTAGAGGACTACATGCCAGCGCATCCGGACAGAGGTGATGCAAACACGTGGACTAAGCAGCAAGTACTGGAAGAGGCTCTTGCAGTTTTCAAGAAGCAGGATGAGTACGACACTATGATGAGGGATCATCACCTCAAGGCGGCGGAAGAAGAGCTCTGGAAGGAGATCAAAGTCACAGTCCCAATACAGAGCAACTCTCTCGCTCTCATTCTGAAGGGCTTGAGGCGTTGGGTCGTGTTCCAGGATAACGAGCCGCGCATTTCGTCTGAGCCCAACCTTGGTGAGCCTTTAATCTGGTCCAAATTTGTATCGGCGGACAACAAAGACGCTGTGCTCAAGTGGGTGCAAAACAACTGGGAACAAGTCAAGGCTTTGGAGAAGGCGCGTGCGAATGCTGCCAAGGAAGCCGCGAAGGGCGCATCGTGAGGTCTGGGCCAGGCTGATGAAAGTCAAAGTAGTGCAAGTGGCACACATTACAGAGACTTGTGCGGTAGTGGTACTGTAGATACTGTTTTCAATCGCGTTCACACGTGGTACTGTACGCATCTAAATTTTGCGGTTTTCGTGACGTAACGCGTGGATCTCTTAAGCCGATGGTTCCCATGCAGCTGCGGGCCTTCTTAACGCGAGCATGATCAGACCTGGCTTTGCGATGCAAATTTTCAGTTTCGTAGGGGTAATAGAATCGAGTTTCGAAGGGGTAATACGGACGGTTTTGTAGGGGTAATCAGAATACCTAAAGGTGGGTCGCATGGTCGAACCTGCTACTTCGGCCCGATGGGAAAGCGCAACTTGATCACGACGATTTGCAACATTTCTCCGATGGTCAGTAGGTATCGCTGCGGGTGAATTGCGCTACGCTACTCGCTATCTTGCCAAGATTGTGTCCCAAGGTGGCTCTTATCTTTTTTGCTTTGTGCGGTACCGGATCGTGACGAACCTTCAAAGGCACTACCTTGTCAGACGGATCTCGATCGACAGAACCCAGCTACCATTCACAGCATTGCTTGTTTCGCACCGAATAGCTTGCTCGCATCCACAAGTCCCGAGGTCTCCGCCTAACAAAGATAAGCCCTACGACAACTTCGATCCTCTAGCGCGTGGACGAGATGGACGACCAGTATCCCGAGCTGCAACTGCCAGAGTCACGGGTCTTGATCGTCATAACGGGTATATATTCATGGAGTGGACATTATGTGTTCGTCTGTACTAACCTCACTAGGCGGCACGATATGCATGCGCAAATCTCCAGACGGACTGGTACCTGCGCGGGGTTTCCTCAAAGCTGGACTTGCACCCAGACCAGTCTTCAATGATGGATCGTACCCCGAGCCTTTGGAGATTGTTACCGACGACAAGGGCACACGCAAAGCCGTTCAAAGTCTTAGAACTCCAGTCAGCACCTATGATCGCCGCGTGCGATACTGCGTGCTCGAATTCGAAAAGTTGCTCGATAGTAGCTCTATTGACTCCACTGGTTGGGATCAAATTGCCCGGACGGTGCAGCGAAACTACCAACTCTTCGATGGTTTCGTTATTTTGCATGGCACAGACTCTCTGGCGTACACGTCGTCGGCGTTGAGTTTCATGTTCCATAATCTGGGGAAGCCGGTGATATTGACGGGATCT